CAGTAGGAGGGGGCAGTGATCGTTGGGTGGGGGCAGAGAGTGGTTAGGAGGGACATCGAGCGGTGGGAGGTGGCAGAGAGCAGTAGGAGGGGGCAGTGATCGGTGGGTGGGGGCAGAGAGTGGTTAGGAGGGACAGCGAGCGGTGGGAGGTGGCAGAGAGCAGTAGGAGGGGGCAGTGATCGGTGGGTGGGGGCAGAGAGTGGTTAGGAGGGACAGCGAGCGGTGGGAGGTGGCAGAGAGCAGTAGGAGGGGGCAGTGATTGAAGTGCATGTTGCGTTGGGTCGGTCTGGAAGACCACAAGCACAGCTGGCAGTCAGCAGGGAGTGGCATGTACCTGGGAGTGGGCATGGGAGGGCGCACACAGAGAAACAGCAAGTTAGGGGGGCAGTGCAGTTGGCAAGCAGAGGGGTTAGTGGCAACAAGGGCAGTGTGGGAAGAACACTGAGGGCACACTGATCGCAGGGCAGAGGTTGTGGGAACACAACGCTGGGATCAGCTGCACCAATTTCCTGCTCCAGTGAGCAGGTGACAAGCCAATAGTCTGAAGTCAGCTTTCTCGTCGTCAAATTCCCCACTCTCCCAGAGCTTATCTATAATCACCTAAACAGGACTGGAATCTCTGAGCAGCTTGCCAGGCCACTTCAGAGGCCAGTTAGGAGCTGGAGTCACATTTGGCCTGTCAGGGTCCAACATACAACAAAGGAGGGGTTGGCCAATCGGCCCCTCAGCCTATTCCACAGGATCGGGGCTGATCTACCCTAGACCTCAACTCCTCGTTCACACCAGCTTCTCACATCCCTCAACTCCCCAATATTTTAAAAATCTATCCAGCTCCTCTACGAATAGGCAGTGATTTAGCCTCCACACTCCCTGCGGTAGAGAATTCCAACATTCACTGCGCTCCAGGGGAAGAAATTCCTTCATGTTTCAGTTTAAGTGAGTGTCTCCTCATTCAGTAACTATGTCCCCTAGTTTGTGATTCGCCAACTTTGATCTTCGCAACATCTACTCTGTCAAGTATCCCTCAGAATGCTGTATGCTCTGAAAGGCAGGATGCCTTCCCTGAATGACATTAATGAACCAGTGGAGTTTTTATGACAAGCAGGTAGCTCTATTTCCATTTCCTGCAATGCTAGCTTTTTAATTCTCGTATTTTCTATGAACTGTATTCAAAAGGTCAAACTGTCCACAGCAGGATTCAAACTTGTGCTCTCTGGACTATTAGGCCAGCAAGACCATCTCCATTGCCCTTGTGAGCGAGTGTTGGTCATGTCACATGCTCAACGAACGAGCCCTGCCCATTGAGGGGTCTCTGCACAAATTCCACAAACCACAGCCAGCCCTCACTAAAGCTACACACGTGTGGGCTGGTTCCGGTCCAGCATTTCAGACAGACTTACAGCCATAGAGCTGTACAGCACAGAAACACACCGTTCGGTCCAACTCGTCCATGCCAACCATCTATCCTAAAATTTACCCAGCCCCACTTGCCAGCATTTGGCCCATTTGCCTCTAAACCCTCCCTATTCACGTACCCATCCAGATGCCTTTTAAATGTTGGAATTGTACTAGCCTCCATCACTTCCTCTGGCATCTCATTCCATAGACGCACCAGCCTCTGCATGTAAATGTTGCCCCTTTTAAATCTTTCCCTCTCACCCTAAACCCATGCCCTCTAGTTTTGGACTCCCCTACCCTGGAGGGAAAGACCTTGGCTATTTACCCTATTCATGCCCCTCATGATTTTATAAACATCTATAAGGTCACCTATCAGACTCTGATGCTCCAGGGAAAATAGCCCTAGCTTATTAGGCCTCTCTTTTGAGCTCAAACCCTCCAATCCCAGCAACATCTTCGTAAATCTTTTCTGTACCCTTTCAAGTTTAACAACATCTTTCCTATAGCAGGGAGACCAGAATTGAAAGCAGTATTCCAAAAGTGTCCTGTCCAGCTGTAACATGACATCCCAACCCCTTTACTGCACTGGCCAATAAAGGCAAACATACCAAGTGCCTTCTTCACCACCCTGTCTACCTGCAACTCCACTTTCAAGGAGCTATGCACCTGCATCCCTAGGTCTCTTTGTTCAACAACACTCCCCGGGTCCCTAGAATTAAATATGTAAGTCCCGCCACGATTTGCCTTACCAAAGTGCACCACCGCACGTTTATCTAAATTAACATGACGCCAGGGCATCCGCTACCAGTACCTGGTGGGGTATGGGCCACAGGAGCACCCCGGGCTGGGCTCAGCAGCTCCGTCGAGATGTCGGTATCTGACCAGTCATCGTCATCGTCGCTCAGGCTTGGCTGTGTCGGCAACGGGTTCGACTGGACGACACGGGCCTGGGCCCCATCCTTCACCCCCACGCTGGTGACATAGGCACTGTCCACCACAGAGTCGTCATCGTCAACATCCGAGGAGAAAGGGGGAGTACTGCCAAGACACCGTGGTGGGGGGAAGAGGGGGGGGCGGAGTGGGTGGTAGAGGCAAGAAAACAAATTAGAATGATGAGCTGCTAAAGGTACAGTAGACATCACAGGACATTGAGAGCCACCACACGTCTACTCTGGGCACAAGAAATCAACAAATTCCATAGAAATAAGGAGGAGTAGGCCATTCAGTCTGCTCCAACATTCAATATGACCATCCAACTCAGTGGTTTGTTCCCACGTTCTCCCCATACCCTTCGATCGCTTTAACTCTAAGAACTATATCTAACTGTTTCTTGAGAACATTCAGTGTTTCTGCTTAAACTTTTTTCTGTGCCATAGGCTCCCCACTCTCTGGGTGAAGACATTTCGCTTCCACTCCACATCCTTAGACTGCAATTTCCTTGGTTCTGTACTGCCCGGTGATCGGGAACATCCTTCCTGGATTTATACTGTCTAGTCCTGTCAGAATTTTAGAGGTTTCGATATGATGTTCCCCTCCTGACCAATCCAGTCTCTCTTCATAGATCAGTCCTGCCATCCCACGGGTCTATCCTACTACAGCATCTGACACGGTCACCCAGATAACTCTGGACCTCAAATCCTGTGAAATGCAGCTCCGTTACCTCCCCAGGATGAGCAGACGACAAAGGCCAAGGGCTCCACTCACATTTATTCACTGAATATTCAACAGCTTGGCTCCCAACTGTATTGGGCCTGTGTCCATCCAGAACAAGCCAGTGCCCACCACTGACTGCCCTGCTGTTCTTCAAATACTGCCCCAGGATCTATATGTCCAAATGAGAGCGTGACTAAAAATCCACAGAACAACACCTCTGAGCGTGCGGCTCTCCCTCAGTACTAGACTGTCGGCCTGCCACACGTGCACCTCTGGTTTGAACGAACCCATTGCTGCCAAATTCTTGACCAACCAGAAAGTCAAAGGAACCCAAAACATTGACTCTGCTCTCTCTCCACATGTTCTGCCAGACCCGCTGAGAGCTCCCCCAGCAGTGTCTGTTCTTGAGTCGGATGGGTTTAGCTGGGAAAGTGGAGTTGAGGCCACAATCGCCGTACAGAATGGTGGGTCAGATTCAGGGGGTTGAATGGCCTGCTCCTCTTTCCAACTTGCAGCTATGAAAGGGTGCAGAGGGTGAAACTGCACTGAAAGCGCTCTGAAGAATGAGCCCCTGACCGGACCCCACTCCAATAACAAAAAGCCAACCCCCCCCCACTCCCCCCCCCACCCCCCCCCACACCACCACACCCCCCCCCCCCCCCCCCCCAAACCATGTGACACAGCCTGGCAGGAGAGTTGTACCTGGCAATGGGTGCAAAAGAGCGGGTAGGAGTGGCAGTTCGATGCCGCACAGCCGGTTTGGGGACCTCAGTCTGGCAAGGCTTGGGGTCGATCAAACGGGATGGTTTCAATGAGACGGCATGTTGGCCCTTAGTCTTTGCGGCCGTTTTCTGCGTTGTGTGTCTCCGAACTGGAACAAAAGGGAGCAGAGTGACTAAAGGCACAGGAGCAGGTCATCTCAACTCCTCCAAAGCGGCTTTGGCATGCAGCTAGCTTCAGGTTGGTTTGCACCTTATCCTGACCCCACCATCCCAAAACCCTCCTCCAACAAACACTAACTGATCTTGGTCCCATCTGACCTCCAGCATCCACCTTTAACAGGCAGCTAGCTCCAAATGTCACGGAATCATGGACGTGTTATGGCACGCGCGGCTGTTTGGCCCATCGTGCCTGCACCAGCTCATTGTAGGAGCAGTATTACCTCGTGCCGATCTCCTGCTTTCTCCTCATATTATTTCTAACCAAACCCACATCCAAAGAATTCCTCCACTGAATCTGCCTCCACCACACTTCCAGGCAGTATGTGCCATACTGAAGTAAAACAAGCGCACATTTCCACTCTCTTTTCTTACGTTAAGCTGCTTCTTGCAGACATCGCCTCTTACTGATTTAGTCTCATTTTCAGGTGATGCCCTCTTGTTCTGAATTCTTCTCCCACTCACTGAGAAAATAGAGGAAATAGTTTCTCTCTGACCCAAACAACACCTTTAATCATGTTAAACACCCCAGTCAGATTGGGTCATTCCATCCCATTTAGCGTTTCAATCATCCCATTGTCTTCCATAAGCAAGGGAATATAAATCTCATCTGTGCCAGCTGCCCTCATAGTTTAACCCTTTTAGCCCCAGTAATATTTTGATCAATTTACTTTTCAAACTTTAAGAGACAAGTCCGAATTCCACCTTGCACCTGGTCTGAAATGAGATTAGCCACAGGATAAACTCATCCAGCTACCCTCGGAACTGTGCATTCACAATTTCGTGACTATCCAGAGAGTCTAAAGGTACCATGGCTAGTCAGGAAAGTGAAGTCGGAGCCACATTTGGATCATCCACACTCTGACCGAACAGCAGCACAGAGGGGCTGAATGGCCTGCTCCTCTTTCTAACTCGCGCGAATGAACATTGTCACGGAGGCCAAAGTGATCCCAAAGTGATGGGCGCTCACCAGTCGGACTGACAACTTGTCCGAGGTTTTGCTGAATGAGAAAGCATGCTTCAGGGGCCGAGTGGCCTTCTGCTGCTCGTAAATCATAGATTCCACGGGTCCGTGACCCTCCGTGTGAAGGGAAACCTCCCGATGTCCAACCCGTACCTCCATCTGAGTAGGTTATACACCTGAATCATCATTTGTTGTCATCTCGTTAACTTGAAGGATCTGTCCACACCAACACTGTCTAGTCTCTTCATCTTTGTAAAAATTGCCACTATGTCCACATGAATTTTCCCATATTGGCAGGGATTGTTTAAAAGAAAAGCACAACATCAAATGGTAAGAGCGAACCACATTGCTGTGGGTCTGGAGTCACATACAGTCCAGAGCGGGTAAGGACGGCAGATTTCCTCCCCAGAAGAACTTCAGTGAGCCAGATAGCTTTTCTTGACAGTCAGTCATAATTGTTATGGAGATTAGTTTTCAAGTCCAGATTTTATTCATTAAATTTAAGTTTCACTGATTGCTGTGGTAGGATTTGAACCTGTGTCCCCACAAGCATTGGCCTGGGTTTCTGGACGAATTGCCCAGTGACTCTGGTGCTGTACCCAACATTTCCCCCCAGCTGCTTAAACAGCAGGAGCTAGGAGAAAACTAAAAGGGTTTCTGCTGTTCAGTCTTGGGAGGTTCACTAGCCCCCTCAGAAAAGTGGGGCAACCTGTCCTGGACTGAGAGTTCTGACTTGCGGGGGCCTGCAGGGGGAGCCCGGAGAGGAGACAGGGAGAGGGAGGGAAGGACTTAACTCCATAGAGGCACTCGTGCATCTCCGAGTGGTCATTCCATACATGGGAGAGCACCTTTCCTGAGATTTTTAGGTTGGGAATGGGATTTAGTACGGTTGCCCCAGGCACGGTCATCATATGAACCAGTTGGGAGAAGCCCGGAGTTATTGTGGGGAGCGAAAGGACGAGCTCGGTGGAATGTGATTGTAATGTAACTGGGATGAGAGTAACTTCCCAGGAACAGAGGAGAGGTCAAGGGGCAGGAAAAGGCTGCGAAGCAGGTGGCACAGTGGTTAGCACTCACAACGCCAGAGACCTGGGTTCGATTCCACCCTCGGGCAACAGTCTGTATGGAGTTTGCACATTCTCCCCGGTTTTCTCCCACAGTCCAAAAACGTGCAGGTTCGGTGGATCAGCCCTGAGAAATTGTCCACGGTGCTCAGGGATGCGCAGGCTCAATGGATGAGCCATGGGAAATGTGGAGATAGGATAAGGGAGTTGGGAAGCTCTGCGGAGGGTTAGTGTGCATCCGATGGGCCGAATGGCTTACTTCCACACTGTGGTGATCCTATGAGGTAGCTGAGGCAGCGATTCACGAGGAAAAAGGGCTTTTCCTGTGTAGAGGACGTCACCGTATCTCACCATTACCTGATCGGGGTGGAGGGGAGCTGTAGCCCTCGCTGCGCTGTTTCTCTCTGACCTTCTCCACCACGACCTTTGCAAACCGCTTCCGAAGGCTAGCAAACTCGCCAAAACGCTTGGCCTTGCTCTCGCGCTGTTTGCCCACAGTCACATTCAGGCTCTTCAGTGTCTGGGCAGGAATTCCCTTCAAGCCCTGCAGCAAAAGTACCAGTTAAACCAGGTTCCTCGACCCACTGGAGGGAGGGCTGGCCAGAAGTGGCCCCTTACCCTGTGCTATTGGCGCCTACTAAAACCATGGCTGATCTGGTTGAATTCTCCACTCTGCCCTCCTGCCTGTCCCTCATTACCTTTGACACATTAGGGATAGGAGCTAAAGTAGGCCATTCAACCCATCAAGTCTGCTCCGCCATTCAGTAAGATCAGAGCTGATCTGAATACCCTCAACTCCACTTTCCTGTATTTTCCCCATAACCCTCGAATCCCTTACAGATTAAAAATCTGTCTGCCTCGGCCTCGATTGTCTTTAAAGACTTAGCCTCGACAGCCCTCTGCAGTAAAGAATTGCACAGATTCACCACCCTCCGAGAGAAGGAATTCCTCCTCATCTTCGTCTCCCTTTTGACCAAGAATCTGCTGGACACAGCCTTAATAAATTCCGACACCCAGCCTCCACTGTTTCTTTTTTCCTTTATTCATTCATGGGATAAGGGCGTCGCTGGCTAGGCAGCATTTGTTGCCCATCCCTAATTGCCCAAAGGGCAGTTAAGAGTCAACCACATTGCTGTGGGTCTGGAGTCACATGGAGGCCAGACCAGGTAAGGATGGCAGTTTCCTTCCCCAAAGGACATTAGTGAACCAGGTGGGTTTTTCCTCCGACAATCGGCAATGGATTCATGGTTATCTTTAGACTCTTAATTCCAGATATTTATTGAACTCAAATTTCACTATCTGCCTTGGCGGGTCTCTGGGTTAACAGTCCAGCGATAACACCACTCGGCCATCACCTCCCCACAGGCAGAAGAGAATGCTACAGATTCACTGACAGAGAAAATGTTCTCCTTGTCTCTTTCTTAAAACCAAGCCTTTTCTTCTTAAAAACAAAATGTCCCCAGATCTGATCTCTGCCACACGAGGAATTTATTCCACCCTATCAAATCTCCTTAGCGTGCTGTGCGTTTCAGTCGTGGAGTACTATGTCCAGTTCTGGTTGCCCTGTTACAGGAAGGATATTATTAAACTGAAGAGCATTCAGAAAGAGATTCACCAGGATATTACCAGGAATGGAGGATTTGAGTTAAAAGGAGAGGCTGGATAGGCTGGGACTTTTCTCATTGGAGCGTAGGAGTTTGAAAGATGACCTATAGATGTTTATAAAATCATGAGGGGCATAGATAAGGTGAATGGCAGGTGTCTTTTTCCTAGGGTGGTGGATTTCAAGACTAGGGGATACATTTTTAAGGTGAGAGGAGAAAGATTTATAAAAGTCATGAGGGGCAACATTTTTACACAGAAAGTGCTTGGTGTGTGGAATGAACTTCAGAGGAAGTGGTGGATGCAGGTACATTTACAACATTTAAAAGACGTAAGTACATACGTAAGAAATGTTTGGTGGGATATGGGCCAAGTGCAAACTGGTGGGATCAGTTTAATTTGAGATTATAGTCAGCACGGACTGTTTGGGCCGAAGGGTCTGTTTCCGTTCTGTGTGGTTCTATTTCTCTCTCTTGAACTCCAATGGGTAAAGGCCCAAACCTTACCTCATCAGAAGGGCCCTTCATCCCAGGAATGAGTCAAGTGAACCTTTTCTGAACTGCTTCTAACGCAGTTCTATCCTATTTCAGATGTTGGTGCGTTCGCCGAGCTGAGAGCTATCAAACCTTCCAGCTGGGTGAACACACCAACATCTACAACCAGCACCCGAGCTACAAATCTTCAACCAAACCCTGAACATCCTATTTCAAATCCAGAGACATAAACTGTGCATTGCACTCCAGGTATTGGTGTGCGCATACAATCTACATACATGTCACATACAGAGTGCCCATTCGCCACTCAACCTCTACCACCTCAAAGAATAACAGTGGCCTGGGGACATCTGTAATGTCAAATTCCCCTCCAACTCACAAACCAAGCTGGCTTATCAACAGGAGGGAGTAACCTTTAAAACACGAAGTGCAAGAAGAAAGTAGGACCATATGACGTAGGAGCAGACATTAGGTCATTCGGCCCATCGAGTCTGCTCTGCCATTCAATCATGGCTGATAAGTTCCTCAACCCCATTCTCCATTTTCTCCCCGTAACCCTTGATCCCCTTGACAATCAAGAACCTATCTATCTCAGTCTTAAATGTACTCAATGACGTGGCCTCCACAGCCTTCTGTGGCAGTGAATTCCATAGATTCACCACTCTCTGGCTGAAGAAGTTTCTCCTTATCTCCGTTCTAAAAAGGTCTTCCCTTTACTCTAAGGCTGTGCCCTCGGATCCTAGTCTCTCCTACCAATGGAAGCACCTTCCCAATTGCTCTGTCATTGCTCTCAGGTGGCATTAAACGATGGCTTTGCCAGATTTGCCCACATCCTGAGAGGTTGCTGCAGTCAACGATTTCTCCCTGGTTGTACTAATGACTGGAGGGAGCAGGTATCATGAAACCTTTTAAGAAGCAAACGAACAGGAGAAAATGAAAAGAAGGTGTACTTCCTGGACTATCCTTAGCACTCTGAGCTAGCAAAGGCCATCCAACTGGGAAGATCCTGATGCTGAGTGCTAACAGGCATTCCTGGCATGAGAGTGGACCATAATCCCCAGCCTCCAAACAAATAGCAAAGTTAAAGGATTGCTAGTTGAAAATGAACCTGGATTAATGGGAACAGTGCTAGTTTCAGAAATTCATCTGCAGACTTTGCAACCTGTCTCCCAGGTTCAGCGTTCACCAACCACCCCCACTCTCACTCACACCTTTTTCAAACCCATGCTCTCCAATTTCTCCTCCAGCGTCTCTTCCAAAATGGGACGGAACTGTTTGATGAATTTTGGATTCTGTCTCAGGGTGTCCAACAGCTGCTGCTTCCGGTCTAGGGAACTCTCCAAATCTGAGGGATAATTATTCACAAAAAACAGTCTGAGAAATACAGACAGCAAGAGGTGGGGGGTTGGAAAGAGAGAGAGAGCCAGACAGACAGACAGGGACAGACAGAGAAAGGGAGATCATGAAACAAAAAGTGCAAGGCAGAGGGAGACAGAATGCATGTGGCAGTTAGTGGAAGGGTATAAGAGTCAGAGAAAGAAAGTGCATGAGGCAGAGACAGCGGGAGATATTCAGCAGTAAACACATGGTGAGAGCCATAGGAGATAGAGATCTGTGAAAGATAGAAGCTGAAGGATAGAGTGAGAAATGGGGAATCTTGGGGAGGGGAAAAAAAAGTGAGGAAGGCAGAAAGAGTGAGAACGAGAATGCAAAAGACAGAGAGAGACGGACAGTGAGAAACAGAGACACAGCACAAATGAGAAAGGAGTATAACATGAACAATGGAGGGACAGAAAAATAAAATAAATTGGACAGCAAGAGACACTGAGGAAGAGAAATTTAAAGAGCAGGTAGAAGAGCAAGAGAAAACATGACAACTTGTATGCTTAATTTTGACACAAATATATTTTACTTCAATGTCAATCATTTTATTTCTCCTTTTATTTCCTCACTCAGTTACATTCCCTCTTCTTCTGAAAGCACCACCTTCCCTCAGGTGAGGAGTTGGTGATGTAGGGAGTATGGTCCCAGATAACAGGTGCTTTCCACTATCTCACTCCAGTGTCGAACGTGAACCTAGTGCAAGTGTTAGCTGCCTGATATACCATGAGAGGCATCACAGCCAGGCAATCCTATCGACTGACAGCGTGTGAGATCTATCTGAAAACTGCACTTTTGAAAAAGGCAAGTTCTCAGGCTTTCATTGTCCAACTGTTGAAAAAAAAAAGCCCAGAACCTACCATCATCTTCCTCGGATTCCAAGTCTTGACTCTCAGAAGCTGGAAAGCAAATGACATTTTACACAATTTGTTCCCGTGTCAGTGATTCACTCTGTCCCAGTGCTGAAAGCATTGCAAAAACAACAAGAGTTCTCCACTCATTGAATCCATACAATGTGGAAGCAGGCCATTTACCTCATCAAGTCCACACCGACCCTTTGAAGAACATCACACCGAGACCCACCCACCCACCCCACCCAGCAACATCAGGATTGCAGAGTCAGTCCCCTTCGAATGTGAACCCATGAGGGGTGTCTGACCATGTCTCACCTCCAGTACCAAGACCACCTCCCCCCCTGTAACATCTGTAACATCGTCCATCTCCACTCACGCCTCTGATCCACTGCGACTGAAACCTTCCCCAGTGTCAGGGAGGTACAAGCAGGTGTTGTTTGGAAAATGATGTGAAACCAGGGGTCTGTCTTGCCTCTCAGTTGAAGTGATATATTTGCAGAACCACAGCATAAACTTTGCTGATGAGAGAGATGTGTGGGCAAACGGTTTCGTTTTGTACTATTCAGAAACACTATATTGTACAGTAGCTACACTATCCTTCTCTTGTTGTCTCGTATTCAAATTCTGCACTACCAAGTGACTGTTTGATACAAGGTACTAATTAATCCAAGGATGTCAAGGGAGTTCTCACGCAACCGATGCCCTGGCCAATATTTATCCATTGGTTAGGCCACTGAAATAAATTTTTAAAAAAGAATAATTTCACAGAATCACAAAATAGTTACAGCACAACAAGAGACTATTCAGCCCACTGTTTCTGTGCCAGCTGTCTGCGAGGACAACTCCTGTACCCACACCAATGCCTTTTCATGGAATCTTGGAGTCATACAACACAGAAACAGACCCTTCGGTCCAGCCCATCCATGCCGACCATGTTCCCAAACTAAACTAGTCCCACCTGTCTGCAATTGGCCATATCCCTCCAAACATTTCTTATTCATGTACTTATCATGTAACAAACACTTAAAAGTATCTGTATCTAGGAACCCTATACCTGAGATAGTGCCAAAGAGGCGACATTACAAACTTTTCACTGCACTCATTCCAGTGCCAGTGACAATAAAGGCTAATGAATTCTATACTTTCCAAATATCTTTTAAACATTGTAACTGCACTTGCATCCACCACTTCCTCTGGAAGTTCATTCCACACACAAACCACTCTCTGCGTAAAAAAAAATTGCCCCCATGTCTTTTTTAAATCTTTCTCCTCTCGCTTTAAAAATATGCCCCTTAGTCTTGAAATCCCCACCCAAGGCAAAAGACCTTGGCCATTCACCTTATCTATGCCCCTCACGATTTTACAAACCTCTATAGCGTCACCCCTCAACCTTCTACACTCCAGTGAAAAGCGTGCCAGTCTGTCCAGTCTCTCCTTATAACTCAAACCCTCCATTTCTCCCTGGAGCCCTGCTAATCTTTCCTCTTCAAATAATAATCCAATTCCCCTCTGAAGGGCATAATGAAGTCTGCCTCCACCTCACTCACAGGCAACGCGTTACAAAACCTCATCACTCACTGGATAGAAAAATGTTTCCCTTGTGTTGCCTCTGATTCTTTTGCGAATCACCTCGAATCCTCAGGTTCTCGATCATTCTGGAAATGAGAACAGTTTCCCCTGTCTATTTAGCTTCACTTTGTGAGATCTTGTTGTGCACAATTTGGCAGTCACCATTCCTATATCGGTAAAGCACTTCAATAATGTTACACTGAGGGGGTGTGGGAGCACTTGCAAAAGGCTCTACATAAATGCAAGTCTTTCTTCCTTCCACTGCCTTTTGTGATCCCAGGACATGAATAGTCTCATCTCAACCACTGTCCACCCTTCATAAAGCTGAACTCTGTTGTCTGTAGCCGAACACCCATCCCCACTGTTGCTTATAGGCGAAAAGCATAAGCCCTGAGCCCCTGGAATACACAGTTAGAATCAAAGCAGTCAGTGCTTTCACTACTGGAGGATTTCTCATTTAAAAGTCAAAATATGTAACTTGTTCTGCGATTGATGAGTTAATAAAATTAATAAGCTGTTAAAAATGATTAACATTCTATGTCTTTGTTAAAAAAATTTCAAGTTTCAATACATTTGCTAATTCTGATATTTAATAGGATTTTGATTCCAAATTGTATCTCGCTTACTCCTCACTAGATGGTGCAATAAACAAGGATATGATAAACGAGCCAGCCACTATTCCAATATCCAGTCCTTCTGAATGTGAGTTCCCATCACCATCACTATCTACAGTCTTCCCAACAATAGTACAGGCCGAAGCATGCTACCCTTTGAGGGTAGATAGTAGCATAGGGTGACAATACTAAAGATATATCTCCATCAATGTTAATATAGTCAGTATCTAAGGATGCAGGGGCAGCACGGGTCTGAGGATTGGGGTAGGGAGTGGTGCGGGAGGTGGGGTTACTGACAGCCAGTGTGATGGAGCTAGAGATAAAAGAGATATTGTCAGTAACAAAAGGCGCTGGGGATAGGCCATGTGGGAAAGGGGTTACTGACTGACAGTGTGATGGATCTAGATTAACATCAGTAGAGATACAGTCAGTAACACAGGGCGCTGGGGGGAGAGGATTACTGAGTGACAGTGTGAGGGAGCTGGATTAACATCAGCAGAGAAACAGGGCATTGGGGGTGAGAGAGTTACTGAGTGACAGTGTGAGGGAGCTGGATTTTCAAGTGAGTATGTAGAACTATTTGGTTCTTTTGTGTATTTTGTAAGCAACCAAGTAATAGAAATATAATAAAGGAGCAGATTTTCAAGAATATGACGGAAAGATGCAAAACTTCTAGTCATTGTGGGAAACATTTAGTATCAGAATACTGGACATGGCAGTGATTGCGTGAAAAATGGAGAAGGGGATAGATTTCTGAAGTGCGTTGAAGAAAATGTTCTTGTTCAGTATGTTTCCTACCTGACGAGGAAGGGAGCATTCCTGGATCGCGTCCGAGTGGATTTAAGTGGGTCACGTGGAGGACATCACAGTCAGGAGCATCTTGAAACAGGGATCATAAGTTTTAGGTTAGTTACAGAGAAAAACAAGCAGCAATGCAGAATAACAATGCCCAGCTAGAGGCGGACCAGTTTCGATAAAGTGGCGGCAAGTCTGACCCAAGTAAACTGGAGCCAAAAATCCACAGGCAGAAGTGTAACAGAGTAATTGTTACTCTTTAAGAAGTAGACGGTTAAAGTGGAGCCTCAGTCCATTCCCACAAGAGGAAAAGGAGAAAACAGAAAGTAAGGTCACCCTAATGACAAAAGTTAGTTAGATGTCAAGTTGATCATACAAGGGAGAAGGAGGCAGAGAGAGAGTAAAACAGGAAATAAGAGCAGCAAAGAGACAGCATAGGAACAGCCTGGCAGCTAACATCACAGAGAATCCGAAAATCTTCCATTGATTCATTAACAGGGAAAGTGATGTCAGAGAGCCAAGAAGGTTCATTACATACCAAAATGGAGATCTATCCATGGAGACAGGGATATGATTAAAGTTCTGAACAGGTACAACGCATCAGGGTTTACTGAGGAAGAGGAGCTTGCTAGATTTAATGTAAATCTCCAAGGTGTCGAAATAATGGATTGGGATAAAGTAGATAAAGTGGAGATACTTTAGAGACCAGCAGTATCTGGAATGCATACCTCATCCTTTGTGGCTGTGGTACGTTATTGGTTGCTGAGGGACACAAGGGGCAGAAACCGGGGAGATACTGGTCAAAATCCTCTCTCCAGCTCGGATATGGGGATGGCTCCAGAGCATCGGAGAATTGTAAACGTTACAGTCCTGACCCAAAACAAGTGTTAGAGGTTTACACCAGCCAATACAGTCTCAGTACCAGGGCAGCTTTTAGAACCGACCATCCAGTGGAAAATGAACAGCCAGAGCACCAGCAAAGCCAGGGGCACAGATTCGATCGGGGGAAATTCTGCCTGACAAACCTGATGGAGTTTTTCGATGAGGTGACGGAGAGATTGGATAGGGACAGGGCAGTCAGTGCTGTGGATATCACTGGGGCAGTAGGAGTACGGACACAAACTTGGCTAAGGGGTGGAAAAGGGACAGTATGTGGTGAATGGCTGTTTTCTTTCAATCATACTGGATGGAGGTATACAGTGGTGTCTTCCTGGACAGAACTAGGACACCTGCTGGTTTTGCTGGATATCTGAGTATGGAGGACAACAATGTTGAAATCTGAAACTGACATGCAACTTGGAGGTCCACTTGGAAAAAGATGGTAATGGACATTAAAAAGGACATAACAGGCTGGTGGAATGGCTGGAAGCTTGACAATGAAATTCAGCATTGAAAAGCAGGAAATTAATTTTAACTCAATTGATACAATCTTAAAAGAACAGAGCGGCCTCAGGGTGTTTGTGCGGGAAATTTGAAGATAGCGGGACAAGTTAGTGTAGCACATGGAACCCTGAGTCTTATTCTAGAGGCAGAGAGACCCATATGATAGACCCATATAAATCAGTAACTGAGCCCCGGATGGAGTTATGTATCCAATTCTGGTCACCAGACTCTGGGATTTTGTAAAGGACACAGCAGATTGACCAGAATATTCCAGAGATGAAGAAATAGAATGACATGATAGAGTGGAGAAACCGATGTTGTCCTCAGTACCAGACAAGGCTAAGAGGTACCTGATGGACGTGCTTTAATCATGAATGCTTACCGGAGAATAAAGAAAGAAAAACTACCTCCAACACAGAATTAAGACAATTGGCAAAAGAATCAGAGGTGACAACAGGAAAGGTAGCAGCAGTGTGTACCATCTACAAGACCACGGCAGAAATTCACCAAAGATCCTCAGATGGCATCTTCCAAACCCACGACCACTTTCATCTAGAAGGACAAGGGCAGCAGATACATGGGAACACCACCCCCTGCAACTTCCCCTCCATCCTGACTTGGAAGCACATCACTGTTCCTTCACTGCCGCTGGGACAAAATCCTGGAATTCTCTCCCTGATGACATTGTAGGTATATCCACAGCACATAGACTGCAATACTTTACCACTACCAAGCTCAACTAGGGATGGGCAGTAAATGCTGGCTCAGCCAGCAATGCCCATATCCCTTCAGCGAAGTCTTAAAAACTCCTGCACCATTGAGTTGTTAGGATATGAAATGAAGTGCCTGCAAGGGTGGCGGATACAGATTCAATAATAGCCTTCAAAGAGAATTAGATAAACACCTAAAAGAGAAGGAATTACAGCAACATGGGGAAAACGGAGGAGAGTGGAACTAACTGCTCTTCAACAGAGCTAGCACACATACAGCGGGACAAATGGACTCTTTCCCCTGTTCTGCATGTACATAAACTAAAACACACCAACGCCCACAATCCTTAGAACCCCACACAGCAGCTGATGTTCCTCTTTAACATTTGGTCATAGCTGGTGCAGTGCTCACTGGAAACCCAGCCCTGAATGATGATGCAGCTATCTGAACTAATGGGCAGTGGGAGGCACAGAGATTAGAGGATTGGGCATAGAGCACACAGGCCTGACTCCGAGCACATACTGAGAGTAGGGAGTCACAACTTTAAGGTTCAGGCACGTGATAGATAGAGACATAGACATAGTAAAACAGTTCTTACCTTGAACTGGTTTAGAGGATAGCTTTCTGATCTGTAAGGGAAGAACGCAACTAGGTGTGGGTAATCTGCATTTCAGTTGTAATGAAATAGATTGAGAAAAATTGCTCTTTGAAGCTACTTCAAACTTACCTGCTCATCCCTATTTGCAAAATTGTTTTTACAGAGAGTTGCGTGCGCAGCCAAAACAACACCAGAGTAAGGAACTTAATGCTGTATCTAACTCCATCTTGTACCTGCCCTAAGTGTGTTTGATGAAGGCTGTATAGAGAGAACCTTATTCTGTATCTAACACATACTGTACCTGTCCTGTGAATGTTTAATAATGACAGTTTGGAGGGACCTTTACTCTGTATTTAATCCCACGCTGTATCTACCCTGGGAGTGTTTAATGGAGACAGTGTAGAGAGAACTTTCCTTTCAAAAGAGTAGACATAGTTTTACTTTCAGTTCAAAAGAGTAGAGGGAAGTTCATTCTGAATCTATTCCTGTGCTGTACCTACCTGGGAGTATTTGATGGGGCTAGTGTAGAGTTAGCTTTACTTTAAGGTTACTTTCAGTTTAAAAGATTTAGATTTAGAGCTAAAACTTCAGTCTGTATCTATTCCTGTGTTGTTTATGACCTGGGAGTGTTTAATGGGGACAGTGTAGAGGGAGCTTCGTTCTGTATCTAACTGTGTTATACTGGTCCTGGGAGTGTTTGATAGAGAAAGTGTAGATGGAGATTTACTTTTCATTTATTCGGCCCATTATGCCAATACTAGTAATCTGAAGGAGTTCACTAATTAGTCCTACTCCAATGCTTTTTCAAACAGCCCCAGAGCTTACTATACTCTTTATTTACTTATTTATCCAATTCCTTTCTGAAAGATGCAGTTTAATTCACATCCAGCACCGTTCCAGGCAATGCATTCCAGGTAATACATATGCAGATTAAAATAAATCTGCATCTCCTGGCTTCTTCTACAAATTACCTCGAATCTATGTCCTCTGACTCACGTACATTCTGGATGTTAGAATATAAGACTGATAATATCGAATGTTTACTTTGTTAACTCACATGTCATAAAATCTCTTCTGTTTTTTTAATAATGACATGGGATTTGGTAGCTTTATCCTCAAAGTATGGATTGCAATTTCATGTTTAGTCTACTTTTCACAATAAGGTCACTAGCCCCTAAATGAATCACTGTGGGGTCTGGTCTAGGATCAAAATACACCTCATTAAATGTATTTTGATAGGCCAGGTAAACTATTGCATCATCTTCATCAGCTCTCCTGGTTACTTCATCAAAAAACTCAGTCAAGATCTCCACTCAATGTAGGGTTGAAATCCAGTGGCTCACCAGATTTCCAAGCAGCTCATGGATTCCCTCTATTTACAGAGTTACTCCAAGACTCATCATAAACTGGGCCCCAGCTCCAATTATGAGCTGCTTTACTTCACTTCAACTGGTTGCCTGGGCCCAGAGTCCCACATTCCGCATTGTGTGTCAATCACTCTACATCCAAAATAGTGTCAACCTCATTGTGTCATCCCACTTTAATTCTCCCCAGCCTCAACCCAGAGGAAAATCTGCAACACAAAGGAAACAGGAAACAGCCATGGTGACTAACAATGGCCAATAATTTACCCCCATTTCATACAGGGGAGGTGAGAAGAGTTGAGATGTCAGAAACCCAAGTTGTTCACTCATAGCCTTCTAGTCAGACCTGCCCATATTACTGCGATTGATTGACTATTAAGATCCTCTGAAGTTACACAGCAAGCCACCAGGATCTAGAAACAAGAGCTGAAGAAAAGAACCCCCCTCCCACCACCTTCTCAGGACAAACTGAAAGATACCTGATCTTCCCGAGAGAAGATGACTGCATTCTGCTCTTTGACCTTTGCACGGAGCGAACTGATTTGCTTTTGGAAGTATTCAGCTGTTGTTTTCTGGTCTGCAGACAAAGTGGTCCTTAGCCTCTCGTTTTCTACTTTCATCTGTGAAGGGGAGAGTAAAGCAACTTCAAAACTCAAATACAATCAATCGATCCTATGTAAACGCAAGATTCCATTCTAAAACAAAAAGGCCACTTAGGGCTCTTTGTATAGGATTCTTTCTTGGTTTAGATGTTTACCTGAGTTTAAATATACCTCATGGAAGCATACAGTCCATACAGGGCAGAAATAAGCCATTCGGCCCATTGAGGCTGCACTCACTCCCCAAAGAGCATATGCCCCCACCCTATCACCATAACCCCACATTTCCATGGCTAACCCACTTAGCCTGCAGATTCCTGGACACTACAGGACAATTTACCATGGCCACTCCACCTAACCTGCATATCTTTGGATGTTTGGATTGTACCTGCATTACGACGACTTTTGGCTAAATGTCGCTGTCACTTGATGATATTCAGTTCCCTCAGAATTACTGGGTGAAAGCCCTCTCACTCCCTCGCTAACAGACCGTGGGTGTATCTATACCCCAAAGACTGCAGTAGTTCAAAAAAGCAGCTCACCACCACCTTCCCGAGAGCAATTAGGAATGGATCATAAATGCTGGCCAAGCCAATGAAGCCCACATCCCCCTGAATGAATTTTAAAATGTCACACAGGAGGATTGAGTGTTCCTCTTTTATCAAGTGGGCACATCTGACATCACACCACCAACAGACTATTCAACAGTGGAGTGCATCACTGTCTTCTACCAATGTCAACACTCTTTAACTTCTGGTAAATGGACAATATCAGACATGAACCTCCCTCTTTCCAGTCCCGGGGGAACAAGGTCATCTATAACACGTCAACAACCAGCCTGCTGACAGTAACTGACCCAGCATACTCTGAAGAAAGGTCACTGGACTTGAAACGCTCAGGCTGTTTTCTCTCCACAGACACTGCCAGACCTGATGAGTTTCTCCAGCAATTTCTGTTTTTGTTTCAGATTTCCAGCATCCGCAGCTCTTTGTTCGGTATTACTGCAGCTTCCAGGTCTGTACGGTTCAACTGTGGCACACCTATGTAGTGTGGAACACTCGGCAAACTTGGAAACTCCCGGTGAATTTTGATTTTAAAAAATAAACTCCAAAAGGTCCAATGCTTCGTCAAAAATGTCATCGAATGTTCTCTCACTAGTCACTGCATTAAACCATTGTCTGCAGACACGAGACTCGAGTCACAGGTCCATACTTAGGGCAGGTTCACTAAGAGAATGGCTGAGAGGAATAATGCCTTTTCAAGAGTTTCTATTTTTAGACCCAAAATGCCAACTCTGGTCAGTGAGGAACAGCCAAGTGACTGAACAGACACATTCAGAGAAACACACAGACAGACAATCACACACAGACAGGCATAGAAAGATACGTACACACATACACGCACACGGATGTGTGCGAACATGCGGAGACACTGACACATACAGAGAAGTACCCAGTCACACAGACACAGACAGACAGAGCCACACACAGAAAGAATCACACACGTACACACAGAAACAGAGGCACACGCAGATGCAGAGACACGTACATACAATCTGTTCACAAAAAAGCCATCATCCGAGAGGTCAAGGGTGCTTTGAATGTTTCCCAAGTTACGAGCCAATGGATCTCGTTCCAGCCACGTAATACTCCAATCCACAGCAATCCAGTCCCATTCACACTATTGCTCAGACTGATGGGCCTGGAGCTTTGTAAAGGACTAGTTTGAGCGCTGGTTACGTACAAACATATGAATTAGGAGCAGGAGTAGGTCACTCAATCCCACATGTCTGGTCTGTCATTTAATAAGATCGTGGCTGATCTCATTGCCGTAAGTTGTCACCTCATAATCTTTCACCACTTACTGATCCATTTCTACTTCAAAAATGTTCAAAGATTCTGCTTCCACCACCCTTTGAGGAAAAGAGTTGCAAAGACTCAGGACCATTAGAGAAGGACATTCTCCATATTTCTGTCTTAAATGGGTGATATTTTATTTTTAAAGAGTACCCCTTCGGATTCGGGTCCAAAGGGAAACATCTTCTCCCTGCTCACCCAGGCAAGTTCCAACAGAATCTTATATGTTTCAGTCAAGTCACCTCTGACCCTTCTAAACTCCAGAGTACAGGCCTAGCCTGTACAACCTTCCCTCTGCTCATTCCAGGGTTAGTCTAGTAAACCTTCTCTGAACTGCATTTACAGCACACTTGCATCCTTCCTTAAAAAAGGCAACATCAATACCATACTCCAGGTATGATCTGACCAATGCCCAGTAAAACTGCAGCATAAACGCTCTAGTTACATATTTAATTCCCCTCACTATAAACAATATTTTATTCACTTTCCTGATTACTTGCTGTACCTGCATACTAACCTTTTTTGATTCATGCACTAGGACACCCAGATCTCTCTGCAACCTCTCAACATTTAGATAGTATGATTTTTTAAAAATCTTCTTTCCAAAATGGATAATTTCATATTTTCACAGATTACACTCCATTTCCAAGATCTTTACCCTTTCACTTAATCTATTTCCCTTTCTACCCCATTTTCTCTTCACAGCGTACTTTCCTCTCATGTTATCAGCAAATTTAGCAACCACTTTGAGTCATAGAGCTGTACAGCATGGAAACAGACCCTTCAGTCCAACACGTCCATGCGGTCCAGATATCCTAAATTAATCTAGTCCCATTTGCCAGCATTTGGCCCATATCCCTCTAAACCCTTCCAAATCATGTACCCATCCAGATGCCTTTTAAATGTTGTAATTGTACCCGCCTCCACCTATCTCCTCTGGCAACTCATTCCTTACACGCACCACACTCTATGTGAAAAAGTTGCTCCTAAATCTTTCCCCTTTCACCTTAATTCTATGCCTTCTAATTTTGGACTCCCCCCCTATCCTGGGAAAATGACATTGACAATTCATCCTATCCATGCCCCTCATGATTTATAAACCTCTATAAGGTCACCCCTCAGCTTCCAATGTTCCATGGAAAATAGTCCCAGCTTATTCAGCCTCTCCCTATAGCTCAAGCCCTCCAATCCCAGCAACATCCTTGTAAATCTTTTCTGAACCCTTTCAAGTTTAACAACATCTTTCTTACAGCAGGCACACCAGAATTGAATGCAGTATTCCAAAAGTGGCCTCACCAATGTCCTGTACAGCCACAACATGACCTCCCAACTCCTATACTCAATTCACTAACCAATGAAGGAAAGCATGCCAAACGCATTCTTCACTATCCTGTCTACCTGCAACTCCACTTTCAAGGAGCTATGCAACTGCACCCCTTGCTCTCTTTGTTCAATAACACTTCCCAGGGACCTAGAATTGACTGTAGAAGTCTTGCTCTGGTTTCCAACATCTCACATTTATCTAAATTAAACGCCAATCACCACTCCTTGGTTCATTGTCCCATTGACCCATCTGTCCCATTGTACTCTGAGATAACTTTCTTCACTGTCCACTACACCACCAATTTTGGTGTCATTTGCAAAATTACTAACCATACCTCTTATATTCATATCCAAATCATTTATATAAATATCAAAAAAAGCAGTGGACCCAGCAGCGATCCTTGTGGCGCACCGCTGGTCACAGGCCTCCAGTCCGAAAAACAACCCTCCACCACCACCCTCTGTCTCCTACCTTCGAGCCAATTTTTTAATCCAATTGCCTAGTTCCCCCTGGATTCCATGTGATCTAACCTTACTAACCAGTGTACCATGCAGAACCTTATCAAACACCTTCAGTGTCTTCAAGTCATTGATATAAATATTAAAATGTTGAGACCCCAGCACTGATCGCTGTGGCATACCTTTGCGTACTCATAAATAGGAGATCAATCTTGAATCTCAGCACTGAGACCCGGTAATATAAGAAATATGCAAATCAATGGGAACAAGGTACAAAAGCCATTAGTTCCACCTTTGCACTCATTTTTTGGCCAAGTATGGGGCAGAGGGGCTTTTGGTGAACAGAAATATTCATCGGTTTCTCTCAAAGGACAGACAAGTTGATAAAAGACTGAGGACCAGTAAGTTCACTTTCTACCAGCCCGTAAATCACATGATGCAACAATAACGGAGTACTTGATTCATACCAACTAATATCTATTCATTAGTTCATTTGTCAAATCTTTGGCTTGTGTCAACTATAGCTCAGTTGGTGGCACTTACACCTCTCAATCAGAAGACAGTAGGTTTGAGTGCCACTCCAGGATATGAACACATAAAATACAGTTGGCACTTTATAGCAGTGCTAAGGGTGCTAAACTGTCACAGGTGCCAACTTTTGGATGCCAGGCAAAAGATTCCATAGCTATCAGCAATGGGATTACCTCCACTGTCCTGGTCTACATTTATCCCTCAATCAACATCAGAAAACCCAAGTATCTGTTCCTTACCACAATTCTGTTTTGGGGAGCTTTCCACGTGTAAATTGGCTGCCATATTTCCTAGCATACAGTAGTGCCAACGTCTGAAGTAGTTCATTGGCTATGGAGCTTTTTGATGTGTCCAAATCGTGGGAAAAGCATCATTCAATCTAGGTTTGTCTTCCCTTTGGAACAAATCTGAGACACGAGATAACAAGTATCCAACCCCCAAGCCTCCTGGTTGTCAATAATGCACGCCTCTGCATGTGGCCAGGTACGTAGAGGTGAGAAGACCACTCAGTCCCAAGTATTGCCTGATGATGTGGTGGGAAAAAGTTACATGTCCAAAATCAGTGGCAAGGACCTGAGACAGAATACTTGCCCCTCCAACACAAGGGAGAAGACAATTGTCCCCTAAGCCTTTGGGAGTATGGAGGCTGTCAGCCTAAGCGGCAATTCTTTCTCCAAACTTGGGGCAACTGAGGGATTGGCACTGGCATTAAAAATGCTTAGAAGTCAGCAAGAAGAAATCTCCTGAAACCAATTACAAAAAAAAAGTGAAATCTCTGCAGTGTTTTAATTTTTAAGTGCTTTGGCTAAGCGAGAGTTAATCTCATGTGAAAAAAGGATAAATCATAGATATTCCCAAATGGCATTCTGTGTCCAAAGTTATTCTGCACGCACAAACTACTGGCACTGGTGTGTCATCCTGGAACATTTATATTTTGGCCCAATTCCCTTTGCCTCAGACACTGTATTTGAAATGCCTTGGCCTCTCTGCTTGTTTGTAGTTTAGAGCTTCTCACCAGTTAGAAAACATGATGATTTATCTTTCCAAAGTCAATAAATTTACTCCTCCATGCTGTGGACTCTATTTGCCACTGTTTCACCCTTTCACTTCGTCTATCAACATCTCTTCGCAACTCTGCTCTCATCCAAACAGGGGTGACAGACTGCCGTAGGGACCATAAAAATTAAACAAAGAACTGCGGATGCTGTAGATCTGAAAGAGAAACAGAAATTTTTGGAGGAACTCAGCAGGTCTGGAAGCATCCGTGGAGAGAAAAACAGAGCAGATGTTCCAAGTCCAGTTCTGAAGAAGGGTCACTGGACTCGAAACGTTAACTCTGCTTTCTCTCCACAGGTGCTGCCAAACCTGCTAAGCTTCTCCAGCAATTTCTGATTTTGTTTGTAGGGAGCAAATCCCCACACTTTGAGCCAAGATGTTAATGGTAGGTCAATGGATGCTGCCTTGTGCAAAAAGGCTAGAGTTGGTATTAGGCAAAATGTCCAGAAAGTTGTAGGATTGATGGAGGTTAGAAATGGAAGAAATTCATCCCAAGGAAGAAGAAAGATACAAAAGGGAGGACGAGGCAACTGTGGCTGACAAGGGAGGACAGCAACAACATGAAAGTAAGAGATGAAGCATACAAAGCAGTGAAGATTAATGGGAAGCCAGAGGATTGGGGACACTTTAAAAACCAGCAGAAGACACCTAAAACAACAATAAGTGGGAAGAAGATGAAATATAAGGGTAAGCTAGCTAGTAACATAAAAGAAGATTGCAAGAGTTTATTTTAGATATATAAAAGGTAAGAGAGAGGCAAGAGTGCACAGTGGACCACTGAAAAATGAGGCTGGAGAAATAGTAAAAGGGAACAAAGAAATGGTAGAGGAACTGAATAGGTACTTTGCCTTCATTGCGGAAAACACCAGTAGCGTACCAGAAATTTGACAGTCAGGGGACAGAGATGAGTGTAGTGGCCATCACTAAGGAGAAGGTGCGGGGAAGCTGAAAGGTCAGAAGGTGGATAAATCACCTGGACCAGGTGGAACAAACACCAGGGTTCTGAAGGAGATAGCTGAGGAGATGGTGGAGGCATTGGGGGTGATCTTTCAGGAATCACTGGAGTCAGGGAAGGTCCCAGAGGACTGGAAAATGGCTAATGGAACACCCCTGTTTAAGAAGGCAGGGAGGCAGAAGACAGGAAATTGTAAGCCAGTATCCTGACCTCAGTCATTGATAAGATTTTAGAGTCCATTATTAAGGATGGGATCGCAGAGCATTTGGAAGTGCCTGATAAAATAGGGCTAAGTCAGCACAGCTTCGTCAAGGGTAGGTCATGCCTGACAAATCTGTTAGAATTCTTTGAGGAAGTAACGAGCAAGTTAGACAAAGGAGACCCAGTGGATGTGATCTATTTGGATGTCCAGAAGACCTCTGACAAGGTGCTACACAGGAAGCTGCTAAATAAGATAAGAGCCCATGGTGTTAGGGGCAGGGTACTGGCAGGGATTGAGCACTGACTAACTGGCAGAAGACAGAGAGTCAGGATAAAGGGTCTTTTCAAGATGGTAACTGGCAACCAGTAGAGTTCTGCAGAGGTCAGTGTTGGTACCACAACTATTCACAATATACATTATTGTGGATGAAGGAACTGAGAGCATTGTAGCTAAGTTTGCAGATGGCACAAAGATAGGTGGAGAGACAGGTAGTGTTGAGGAGGCTGCAAAAATACTTGGACAGGGTAGGAGAGTGGGCAAAGAAGTGGCAGATGGAAGACAATGAAGGAAAGTGAGAGACGTAGGAAGAGTAGAGTGCAGACTACTTTCTGAGCGGGGGAAAGGCTTCAGAAATCTGAAACAGAGGGGCTCAGGAGTCCTAGTTCAGGATTTTTTTTTAAGGTCAACATGCAGGTTAAGTTGGTAGCTGGGATGGCAAATGCAATGTTAGCATTCATTTCAAGAGAGCTAGAATACAAGAGCAGGGATGTACTACTGAGGCTATATAAGACTCTGGTCAGATCGAATTTGGAATATTATCAACAGTTTTGGACCCTGTATCTGTGGAAGGATATGCTGGCATTGGAGCAGGTCCAGAGGATGTTTACCAAGATCGATCCTGGGAATAAAAGGCTTGTTATATGAGGAGCAAATGAGGACTTTGGGTCTGTACTTGATGGAGTTTAGAAGAATGAGTGGGGTATCTCATTGAAACTTACAGAATTACGGAGATGGCTGGATACAGTAGACATGGAGAAGATGTTTCCACTAGCAGGAGAGACTAGACCCAAGAGCACAGCCTCAGAGTGAAGGGACAACCCTTTAGAATTGAGGTGAGTAGGAATTTCTTCAGACAGAGGGTGGTTAATCTGTGGAACTCATTACCACAGAGGGCTGTGGAGGCCAAGTCATTGAATGTAGTTAAACAGAGATAGATAGATCCTTGATTAGCAAGGAGATCAAGGATTATGGGGAGAAGGCAGGAAATTGGGGTTGAGAAACGTATCAGCCATGATCGAATGGAAGAGCGCACTTGATGGGCCAAATGGCCTAATTCTGCTCCTATTTCCTATGTTTACGTGTTTACCTATCTGCTGGAGTACCATTTCCCAGCACTTGGAATGCCTGGAATCACTTCCAGCCTTGTATGTGGTGGTGCTTCAAGTCTTCTTCCTGCCAAAATAAATCTCCTGGCATTTCTACTCACTGCACTTTGTCTGCCACCAGTCTGCCCATTTCACCACCTTTCCCATATTCACTTGAGGTTCAACACTATCCTTTTCACCGCTTCAAATATCTCCAACTTTGCTATCATCCACAAACTTCAGGATTTAGATATATATTGGGAAAAAATGAGGGTCACATTCCTGTACCCACAAACCCACAATCTGCACCATCTAGGAGGACAACAGCAGCAGATACATGGGGATACCCATCAAGATCTTCTCCATCGCCTGGAGTTCAAAGTGCCCCGTGTACCATGAAACCTATACTGTGCCATATCTGTGTCTGCTTCCCAGACAGATATGTTGAGAATTCTACAACACTGTAGAATTCTACAATTTGTGTAGAACCTCAAGTGTAAGCTTTCTCATGTGCAACTGCGGCCACAGTCTTTTTGACTTTGGAATGGAAATTAATGAAAAGGTGAGATAACAAAGTGTAGAGCTGGATGAACACAGCAGGCCAAGCAGCATCAGAGGAGCAGGAAGGCTGACGTTTCGGGCCTAGACCCTTCTTCAGAAATGGAAAGGTGGTTCTGTTTGCTTTCCCGATGGAATCAACTATTGAGCTATTGGTTTACAAAGTTTGACTTCAGGTGAAACTGTTACCATGAACACCACACAAAGGACCAACTGTCCATTAAAGATACTTCACCTGCTGAACATACAGCAACATTTGGCGGATGCCATCACAAAATGAATTGGCAGACAAACTTCTAAACTGAAGTTTTATACATACCTCCTCTTTTTCAGCCAGATGCTGAACCTCAAGTTCTTTCACCTTCTTTTTGGATTCATTTTTCTGGAAATAGAAACAATGAAATCCTAAACATAAGTGGAAATTGCTGGAAAATCTCTGCAGGTCAGACACAACCCGGTGAGAGAAGTCAGAGCTAACGTTTCGGATCCAGCGACCCTTCTTCAGAATCAAATCTCATCACTTTAGGGTCAAAATTTTACAATCACAGTGAGCAATTAAACATTAACAAAAAGCCAAGCAACCACAGTTTCTACCCAGTTTCTGGACTTGGCTCACCTGATTTATTGGTGTCAGCTCCCAAACCAGCCAAAATCAAATCTAATTTGGGCTCGCCAAAATCTGGCTCAAATCAAAAAGTTTTTTTTTAAATTCATGGAATGTTGGCATCAATGGCAAGGCCAGCAATTATTGTCCTGGAGGAGAAGCTGTGAGTTATCATCTCGAACCATTATCGTGTGTGTAGCAAAGAGATGGAGGTGGGCCGGTTAATTTCAGAACTTTGACCCGGTGACAATGAAGGAACAGAAGGACAGTTCCAAATCAGTGTAAACGGTGTGTAACGAGGAGAAGATCTTGATGGGTGTTCCCCATGTATCTGCTGCTCTCGTCCTTCCAGATGGTACAAATAGTGGGTATGGAACTGGCTAACGATGACAAGTTGCTGCGAAAGTTCTATATCCCTGGTGGAGGAGGCAGGAAATGCTTAAGGAGGTGGATGGAAGAGCTAATCAACTGGTTGTTTTCCCTTTGATGGTGGCGCACATTGTATATATGCAATCACCCAAGTAAGTTGAAGGCATTCCATCCAGTTTTTGCTTTGTAGATAGTGAAAGGCTTCAGAGACTCGGGGGATGTATTATTTAATACAGAATTCTTTATACACTTTTCACCATACCCCTATACTCGAGTACACGTGACAATAAAAATCTAAGAATTCCTTGCTTCTGAATCATTATTATAGTCCTGATTTTTCTTTTCTTTATTCATTCATGGGATGAGGGCATCGCTGGCCAGGCCAGGATTTATTGTCCATCCCTAATTGCCCAGAGGGCAGGTATGAGTCAACCACATTGCTGTGGGTCTGGAGTCACATGTAGGCCAGACCAGGTAAGGATGGCAGTTTCCTTCCCTAAAGGACATTACCAAACCAGATGGGTTTTTCCCCAACAACCGACAATGGATTCATGGTCATCATTGGACTCTTAGTTCCAGATTTTTACTGAATTCAAATTCCACCATCTGCCATGGCAGGATTCGAACCCAGGTCCCCAGAACATTACCTGGTCTCTGGTTAACAGTCCAGCGATAATACCACTAGGCCATCACCTCCCCCTCATTTAACATGGCAGGTCGAGTTCAGTTTCTGATGTACCCCTCCCACCCTGAGACAGTTGATAGTGGACGATTTCGGTTGTGCTAATGCCAATGAAGGGCTGGTGGTCAGGCTCTCTCAAGTCCAACTTGGTCAATGTCTGGCACAACATCTTGCAACATTTACTTGCCACTTATCGGTCTGATCCTGAACTCCGTCCAGGTCTTGCTGCGTGCAGGTAAGACCCGCTTCATAATAATAAGATTTACGAATGGAACTGAACCTTCCAATGGAGACAGGATCATTGATGAAGCAGCTGAAGATGGTTGGGGCCTAGGACACTACCCTGCAGAGATGTCCTAGAGCTGAGATAACTGACTTCCAACAACCACAACCATCTTCCTATGTGCTAAGCAGGACTCAAGGAGCCTTCCCATGATTATCAATGATTTCAACTTTACTAGGGTTCTTGATTCCAAGGTCAATGCAGGAATTCAGCTCCTCTGCCCATATTTGGATCAACGCTGCGATAAGGTCTGGAGCTGAATAAACACTGGTGGAACCCAGATTGAACATCAGTGAACTGATTATCAGCACCTTCTCTGCATGTTCGTGGTTTAATTGTTCCTAACAAACACAATTGGACCTTTTTTTTAACAACTGGGTATGGCAGGACTGCACAGCTGTTCTTTACAAACAAGAATGGAGACCACACTCGATACGGGTTTTGTTCTCTTTACCCGAGGAAGGATGTTCTGGTTATAGGGGCAGTGCAACAAAGAGGATATCAGGAACAAAAACAAAGTTGCTGGAAAAGCTCAGCAGGTCTGGCAGCATCTGTGAAGGAGAAAACAGAGTTAA